ACTGACAGGTGCCATGATAAGCAGATAATCAGTGCTCATAATCATGTCTGATCGGTGTTTTATATACTACCCCTAACTAAATAGGTGAAGTATTAATCCATAGAATGCACAGATTAAGCAAAGAATGGAAATGCCATTCAACATGTTTTTTTTTTCTAAAGATATTTTTGGGCATTTTATGCCTTTATTTGATAGGACAGGTGAAGATAGACAGGAAAGGGGTGAGAGAGAGAGGGGGGACGACATGCAGCAAAAGTCTGCAGGTTAGAATCAAACCTTGGCTGCTGTGCTAAGGAGCCTACGTGGGGCATGCACTCTACCAGGTAAGCTACCCCACAACATGCATTTTTAATGCTGAAGATCAATATAGCACTCGGGAGAAACTTAGGTCTGAAAGGGCTTGTTAGTACTTAATGGCACAATATGTGCCTAATGACAGTGAGGTGAAGGCAGTGAGGGCAGTCTGCGTGGTCTGAAGGCTTCCTTATAATGCAGAGAAACCCAGACAGCACTTGTAGCTGGAACTCCTCTAGACTCTGCTCAGTGTCAGCCGCTCTCCTTTACTGTGGCAGACAACTCTTTCACAGTAGCTGAGTTACTGTGGCCTGTAACATCACTATACTAAACACCAGCTTTCCAACCCTTATGAAAACTGTAGCAAACTGCTATCTGAGGTAAATCTGTCCCCCCAAACGATACTATAGTGTTCACTAACTTAATATTAGTGAAAACTACAAAAATAAATAAGAATAAGAAAATAATGATTGTTGTGTTTTCGTTATCTTAGAATGAGCTGTTTTTACAGACGCTACAGACGCTACAGATGCTGTGAGCCCCCTTCCATGGAGTCCGCCATGTTGCATGTTTCTACAGTAGCCCAGAACGGAAAAACACTGGCTCTAGATAGGGCCTATCATGTTTTTTGCAGCCACTGTGGTTTCTCGTACATGCTTTGATGGTGAGGGTGTATTCAGTTGGTTGCCATCTGCAACTTCTAGATGCCACTAAATCCTACTCATTGACTTAACCAGTGACTAGTGAATAGGATTTTGTGGAATTTAGTCGTGAAGTGTCAGATTGCAACCAACTGAATTTTTTCAAATCAGTTTTATTTGCATAGCGCCAATTCACAACAGAAGTTATCTCAGGACACTTTTAAAATATAGCAGGTCTAGACCAAACTCCTTATAACATTTACAGAGACCCAACAGTACCACCATGAGCAAGCGACAGTGGCAAGGAAAAACTGCCTTTTAAGAGGTACAGTACACTAAAAGTGACATGATAAATGCAGCGCCGATGTATACTATATGTAGGAATCAGGTGAGACCATCTACTGTAATAGCACACAACACAATAGTTTAAATAACAGGATAAACATAAAAATGCTGAGGCTCATGACAAACATCAAGACTTTTATTTTATTTATTATAAGTAAATACAAAACAAGACAAAAACTGCTTCAACTGTATGTGCCTTCACAATTTTAAGTAATTTTTTTGTGCATTTGCTGTCCTGACAGTGGAGCGGTCCAGAGAGTGGAGCCTGCATCGGAAGCGACTCCATAAAAGAGGACTGCAGGCAGACCGTCTTGCAGCTTTAACTAACTGGACACTGCAGTCTGTCCTCCACTCTTCTTTGTGAGTTAAGTTCTGCCAAATTCTGGTTTGGACTGGATTACATTTTTGTTTTGATGTGCAGCTTTGGCTTTATGTTTGGTCTTGCAGTCTTGTTGGCTAATTAATCTTCTGACAGGAGGCAAGGTTCTTACAGCAGCAGGTTTTCCTCAACGATTGCTCTGTATTTTGCTGAATTCACCTCTGCAAAACAGTATCAACGTTAATTTATATTTTCTTGATTTGGGCTTTTAAAGCTATGACAATAATGATTGTCCTTTTACAGCAGCCAAAGGGGAAGAAGCATGGCTTTGTTATACGGAAGCCAAAAATGTTATGTCTCATGACTTAGACATGTGAGACTGTGGTTAAACTTCAATGACTTATTAGCTCTGTACCTTCCTACCAAACACTTGGCGTCACAGGACCTGGATAGGATAGCTACAGATATACAGAAGTGTTTGGTCACGAGTTCTCATCAACATCACACTTTATGTCCTCCTTATGTTCCCCCATACCCATTTACTGAATGAAATAAAATGCTCAGTGTTGTATGGCCCAATTATGTAACAGTTTTCTATATTTTTATTTTTTAATTCAATTCAATTCAATCACTGAGGGGAGAATTCCCAAAGAATGGATTGTAGCCACTGACAACACCACAGGGGCAGATCTAGAGTGGTGACATGCCATGTCAATGAAAAAAGACACGTATTTGGAAAAAGTCTGAATGTTTAGAAATAAAACAATGACAATTGATTTCTAATGCCACCTATAGATATTTCTATTCAAAGCTTTACTAATGTGCCACATTCATTTAGTACCTTTCCGAGCAAATATTGACATATGTGATTGTTTGTGATTAAATAAGCAGATATTTTTGACACCACTTAAAGTCTCCATGCCACCCTCCATGCCATGTCTCATGTACACTCCCCTCCAAAAGTACTGGAACAGTGAGACTAATTATTTTATTTTTGCTGTAGACTGAAAACATTTGGGTTTGACATCAAAGGATGAACATGAGGCAAGAGATCAAGATTTCAGCTTTATTTCCAGATATTTATATCTGGATCTGATACACAACTTAGGAAATAGCCCTTTTATTTTGAACCCATCCATTTTTCATGTAGCAAAAGTATTGAACACGATTGACAGGTATGAATTTGTTTCCCAGGATGTGTGCTATTACATTGATTATTCAAAAATAATACTGATGTCTTTACTGCTCAGTTTTCAGATTTGGTTTGCCTGTGCTTTATAGTTAGAGTTAACCAGCATGGATATCCAGTTTTGTGGGTCTTGTAGGTGAAAAAGAAGCAAGTTGTAAGCTGAGAGAAGATGTGGAAAATCCATCTGGCCTTAGTCCAGTGCAACCATTTGGGAGTCCTAAGAAAGATAAACACTGGTATACTTAAGTAGACGTGAACGGTAGACAGAAACAGCAAGCAGTGACGACAAGATTATTGTTTAGAGCTGTAAAAAGAACCGCTAAAACACTTGTTGTGACAATCAGCAGAACCCTAGGGCAGGAGTGAAGGTATCACAATCTACTGTTCGCAGAAGACTTCATGAACAAAAGTACAGAGGCTACACCAGAAGATGCAAACCACTCATTAGCAAGAAGAAAAGGAAGGCCAAGCTGGAATTTGCCAAAAAGTACAGAGCTGAGCCTCAAAGATTCTGGGACAAAGTTTTAAGCACTGATGAGACAAAGATAAGCTTTACCAAAGTGATGGAAAGGCTAAAGTTTGAAGAAAGAAATGATCTGCTCATGATCCCAAACATACAAGCTCATCTGTAAAACACAATGGAGGTAATGTCATGGCTTGGGCTTGCATGGCTTCTTCTGGGATGGGCTCATTAATCTGCATTGAAGATGTAACACATGATGGCAGCAGCAAAACGAACTCACAAGTCTACAGAAACATTTTGTCTGCCAATTTAAATAAAGATGCAACCAAACTGATTAGGAGGTACTTCATCATGCAGCAAGATAATGACCCAAAACACACTGCCAAAAACAACAAAGGAGTTCATCAGGTACAAGAATGGAAGGTTTTAGACTGGCAAAGTCAATCTCCAGACCTAAACCCTATAGAGCATTTTACCTGCTAAAGAGGAGACTGAAGGGAGTTAGCCCCCCAAAACAAACAACAACTGAAAAAGGCCTGGAAACCCTGGAAAAGCATCACAAAAGAAGAATGCAAAAGTTTGGTGATGTCAGTGGGGCTTGATGCAGTTATTTCAAGCAAAGGATTTGCAACTAAATATTAAGTCTAATTCACTTAAATCTATTTTAAGTCTATCTGTTCCAATACTTTTGCTCACCTAAAAAAGAGGTGTTACGTAACAAATAATGCTATCTACTAAGTTGTGTATCAAGTCCAGATGTAAATATCTAAATATCTATATATGTAATAAAAGCTGAAATGTTGATCTCTTGTCTCATGTTCATCTTTTGATGTCAAACCCAAAGGTTTTCAGTGTTCAGCAAAAATAAAAGAATTGTCCTCACTGTTCCAATACTTTTGGAGGGGAGTGTATATGCTGCAATAGCACTGGCTGTAGAAAAACTAGATTTTGACATAATAAGACAGATTCTGCAGCTATGCTAGCAGGTCTGTGAGGCTGTTCTAGGCACTGTGGTGTTACACACCAATGCCAGCATGCTAACATGCTCACGATGGCAATGCTATCACAATGATGTTTAGCAGGCAATGTATAATGTTGACCCTGTTCACCACCTTAGTTAGCAGTGTATGTAGTTAGCTTAGTTAGCAGTGTGTGATAACATTATCTAATTAGTGCTACACTGAAAGTAGAGCTAAGGCTGATAGGAACGTCTGCAGTTTAAAAAAAGTATTTAATCACAAACCAAAGTATTCAAACAAGTCAATTTTGACCTGATGACAATGAAAGATGAAGAGTAAAGAGATCACCAAAGTGATGACAATTCATCCTGATACATCTCACAACAATCCATTTCAAGATAACATTTTGTGTTGTCATAACGTGAGAGCCAAAATGCCATGTGATTACAGTAAGTTCATCAAAGGTGTGGTGCAAAGTCATGAGACAACATTCACTATTTGCTATCCTTGTTCAGAAACACATTTTCATCTGTGGAGAACAGGAACAGAAGGCACTGTTAGGGGAAATAATCCAACATAACACCTCAGCACTGGCACCTTTCATTTTAAGAGAAAGCAATCTGACAGTGACAGCGTGGAATGTCGGTGGAGAGGACATAAGAGAAATTATTTTCCTTGTTCTTAGTGTTGTCCTTTGACTAAGGTATTGACTGAAGCTTTAATATAAGTCATATGTTCTGCCTAAGTAGCAACTGTGACTGTGAAAAGACAAGACTAAGACACACGTGTCTGTAGACTTTGTTGTGTATGTAAACAAGGCCGATATTACATCATGCAGGCATACGGACCCTGACTTCAGCACTGCTTTGAGTCCTTGTGTCCAGTTTTGCCAAACAATTTGAGAAATTAGACTACTGCGATACAGAAAGACAACTTACATAGTTTGAAACTCAGTTGTTATTACTGTTACAATATTGTTATGCAAAATGATTAATAGATAAAGCTAAATATATATACACACATATATATATTATTGAATAATCAGTGAAACTGGACCTCATATTTAATGAATATGAATGAAATCAAGCACCAAAGGCATTTCCTCATACATGTCATCACTTCCATTCCATGATGTCTGTGACGGTCTCTGATGCTTGGTTCTTTGTATGCATGTGCTTTTCTTTGTCTGCCTATGTTTGCTTTTCTTTCTGCAGTACTCAGGTCTCTCTTGCAAAAGCAATCTTGATCTCAAAGACTACGTGATTAAATAAAGGTGTAAGGTGTGAAGGGTTGTATGTCTCAATTTGGCAGTAACTGCTTGCCTTAGTCCATCTACTGACCACGAGAAGACAATAGCAACATGACTTGTAAAAGTCTTCACTGTGACATTGTAAAAAGCAAAGATAAAGCATCCATTAAGCCCAACATATATGAAAAATATAGATGTAAATATAGTTTATATAGCTTCCCAGTGATGATATTTTGTGGAATACTAAATCAGTGTTAAATGTCGCTGATTTAAAATTAGCAAAGAAAGTTTATTTAGGTGCTGTTGAAACCTACTATTACAGGAAGTGAGAAACATGATTGACAGATCTGCTACCTGACACAGAGTGTGGTTTGTCAGTGTAACTGCCTGCCAAATGTCCGTCACATATTGTAGCATACGTTTATTTCTGTCTATATTGTCATATATTGTATTATAATATTATATATATGTATATATGTGT